ATTCGACGGCCGCGAGCCGGTAGAGGCGAGAGAACGATACTGACTGCAGAGCGTTGCATAGTATGCTCCATGTTAACCCGTATGACACTCGGTTGCTGGGCATCATGGAAAAGTCAGTGTCCAACTTCCGTAGTGCGTGCGCTCTCTTCGACAACACCGTCGAAACTTTCGAGATTCCGTACGAAAACACCAAACTGCCCGGATACATGTACCTGCCTACGCCAAAGTCCGGAGGGAAGCCTCGCGGAGAGAAGGTGCCCTTGCTCCTTGCTCTCAACGGATTCGATTCAACACAGGAAGAACTCTACTTCTTCATCGCATCAGGATCCGCGTCCCGAGGCTACGCCGTCATGACCTTCGATGGACCTGGACAAGGCATTGTCCTTCGCCGCCCTGGCCAGCCTCCGATCCGCAGGGACTGGGAAGTCGTGGTTTCTTCGGTTCTCGACAGCCTTTGGAAGCTAGTCGATGAGCATCCCGAGTGGAATATCGATCTCGACCGAATCGGCATCATGGGCATGGCCATGGGCGCCTACTTTGCCCTGCGCGGCGCCACCGACCCTCGAATCAAAGCCTGCATCTCCTGTGACGGGTTCTACGACTTCGGGCCACAGGTCCGGCTGCGATCGCCGTTCTTTCTCAAGTACTTGACCGATGGCCAGGCCGATGCGGTCCTGGAGTGGGCATCTGGCTTCAACATGCAGCACAAGCTCGAATTTGGTCACCTGCGCATGGTCTTCGGCACCAAATCGTGCATCGATGCGTTGCGGAAGCTCGGAAGCATCTCCTTGGAGGCGCCGGGCGAAGAACCTATCTGCGCCAACATCAAGTGTCCCGTACTGGTCATGGGTGCCCGCGATACAATTTACACCCTCGAGACGCACCTGACCTACCAGAAACTTGCCGAGTATAGAGGCAGTGAGGAGGGCTTGACATTGTGGGATCCGGTCGGGCCAGGGCAAGGCTCGCTACAGGCCAAGGTGGGGGCTGTATCTCGGCTGCAAATGAAGGTTTTCTCGTGGCTGGATGAGGTTTTTGGAATCCAAAGGCCTCCGATTGCAAACCAGCCTGTTTGAACGACATTTTTCAGCTCTGAAAGGGAAGCGATTGCTGTCTAGTGACGTAACGAGAAATTGAATCATAACATTAAAGATCTTTAACTAAAGAAAAATGCGTTTTGCTTCTCTTGCTCATGAGGAAGCTCTCATTGAACGCGTTTGCGCCAAAATACTCAGATACTTGGGTTTTTGAAGAAGGACGTCATATCATATCTCAAATTGGGAACGATGCACCAGGTCAAGTTTCTAATTAACCAAATGACTGTACGGATGAAATCATACATAGAAACGCCAAACACACCAGGCAAACGCTGACTGAAGCATATCTCTCGCAGGTCAAGGAAAGGGAGAATGGGAATCTATCACCTCTAAAGGTGGGGAGTATGGGCCATTGATGGGAAAGGACAAGACACGATCGAGGATCGAATTCGAGATGCTATGGAATGCGCAGATTATCTCCATGTTATCAAAATTAATAATACCAGTAGTATTAGGAGTAGCAGCAGAAGTTATATAGTGCAACCCTACTGTCCTTCTCTGGGATTAGTTCACGTCACTCTATGCAAGGCTATGAGAAATAAAATGTATATATAAGCTTATAATTGGTGGCGATATTGTCAGTATGCGAGGCTCGAAGGTTGGATGTATGGCAAAGAATCTAACTCTATAAGAAAAACCATGGGAAGCGCATAAAGGATCAGCTAAAAACCCGACAGAGCTCAAGCAACAAGAACGGCCTTTCCCCACTCGATGAAGTTCTCTTCGTCCTCCTTGATCTTCTTTCCAACGTTTTCGTCTCCATAAACCGTAAAGGTGGCGTTGAAATGGGCCTCGTCCCTCCAGGTCAAAATGGCCATGGAATCGAAGACAAAGTCGGACTGCTCGCCAAGCACGACTCTGGCCAAGAAGTCGGGCTCATCACGAATGACATAAGACCGGGTGTGGGATAAGGGAAACACGTCTCCCGAGAGGTTTTTGAGGAGAGGCATGTGTGTGTTCTCGTAGTAGTCGTGGAATTGAGTGGGGGTGAGATCTTGACGGCGTCGTGCGAACAGCAGCATCTTTACACCAACGGTGGTAACATTTGCGATGCAGGGAAGCCTCATTTTGGTGATTTTGAGAGGTAGGGTGTTTGTGTGAAAGAAAACGCGGCTCTATATGTAAATGCGCCCAGAAAGTGAGACTTGGTGATGGTCCAGAGAGAGAATGGCCTGGCCTAGAAATCAGCAACATGACACGCACGTTCACTCCTCTTTATATATGTATGTAGGAAGCGGGCTTGATCAGCCTTGATCACATTCCAGGCGTTCCGGTCCGAATGAAAACTAGGCAACAGAATCGAGGAAGAGGCGCAGGGTTGAGCCAGGGTTCAGGATCAAGAAGGGGTGTGAAGGTCGCGCCCTGGTGTCTGGTATCGGAAATGGGGGCTGACGAAGGAAGCGGCGCATGTCAGAAACTATTGAATTTCGGTGAATTCCGGTCGAGGCTGCGATGATTCTGGCTGGGTTAGAAAAGAAATGCTCACTGGTATGATCCTGAGCGAGCTGAACCATGTCGGTTAGTCAGACTTGACATTCCAGAATGTCGAGCCATGGGGCTACATGCAAGTTTACGACATGTGCATAATACGGTTACTCTGTACCATCATTAGATCTGGCAGAAACTTATCAGATCTGGTTTATCAGTGCTTGGCATTTAGCTCACGTCCATTTAATGCTGTAAACAGGTTCACGACGCTGGGCAATGTTCAAGAGACAACTACTATTTCATTCAAGAGTGCTAGTCTGTGCAGTATTCTAAGCTATCGGGTACACTAACTTAAAGCCTCGAACCTTGCCCTTGCGAACTTGATCAATCCCCTCAGTGATACCTTCTAATCCGCCTGCTCGAAGTTGGAATTCAGGGCCCCGTACCAAACCTTCCTGGGTCCATCTTTCGGCCGCCCTATACAGCTGAGCGGCGAACTGACGATCCGACTGCGAGGCGGGTCTGCCATACACGCCATCTAGCTTCACAGGTTTGCCAAAGAGTGACAGGGCCTGAACCCAGTCAACGGCCACGTCTCGTCGGCTGTACTTTACATGAGTCGGAGGGGCCTCAAGTCCGATGTATTTCCCCCCTTTGCCACCGATGGCTTCGAAACAAGAAGCCATGGTATCGGCGGAAGTGACACAGTCTAGAGCATGCACCAGTTTGTTGCGGGTGAAATTCTTTATTTCTCGACCGCACGTGCTGGATCGATAGTCGAAAGTTTTCGCAGCACCGAGGTCTTTCATGATGGCGCTGACGTTGACGCTGCAAGTGACGACTGGTTCGATTCCGGATCTAAGTGAAGTTTCAGCTAGAGATCCACAGATTTTAGAATAGCTCTGGGGATAGGTTACTTACAGCTTCAGGAGCTGGATTGCCATCCTGCCAGACGCTGTGTTGCCGCCGGCAACAAGAACATATTCCGGCCTCTCGCCGGTTTCGGTGCCAGGCATAGCGAGTCCGAGCTGCTTGAACATTGCGTAGCCCACCGTTCCAAATGCCAGCGCCATTGTGGATGCCTGGTAGGATGTAATTGATGAGGGCATCTTGCAGCAGAGGTCGGCGGTTGCAACGACGTGGTCTGCAAATGCACCAGAATCGTGATTGTCCGAGTTCAGACCGTGTACGAATCCAAAGACATCATCACCAGGCTTGAACCGCGTGACAGAACTTCCAACCTTGACAACGGTGCCGGAAAAATCGTAGCCGCCGATCCCCGGGCACGGGGAGCTGTCGATAGTCTTCGCATCCGCCGGGTTCAGGGCTACTGCGTTGGTTTTGCATAGCATCTGGTCTGTCTGGAGATCAGGTATAGGGCCATCATGGATGATTTCGTATTCGCCGGGTCCTTTCCCGACAAGTGCCTTTCGAACGCTCATTTCTGGAACCCTGATACGAATTGAGATGGTGAATATTTGGAAGGACAACTTGCGATTTAGGCGAGCTTCACAACAACATCACCACGCGCCCACCTCTCCTATCAACGAAATTTGGCAGAAGGACTCAAAGATGTTTAGATGCAAAAAGCACTATGCTACGGAGGTTGTCAGCTTCTTTGGCGTGATACATTCGATCAAACCACCGGGCGAAGGAAGTCAGAAATATGCCGACCTCGGTGCATATCCTCTAGCACGGGTAAATGGTGATTACGCCGTGTCTCTACCGAGCCGCCACCGCCGCCACCAAGTGAGCGCAATCTGCCGGTCCAACTTGCGTACGAGGCGACAAGGGGAAGCTTACATTGTAGATTCCCATCATTGGCCAAGCTACGAGCTTGTATTGCTGTGAACGTTGCCTGTAACCCACCGCAACTAGCTGCACTGCGTACCCATGAACTTGATATTAGGTGATGCGATAAGTGTAAGTAGCTTCACTTGATATCAATGAAAAATCAGAGTCAACTCCTTGCTCCCTATTACGAGGAGCGAATACTCAAGAACTGATATACAACTCTTGACCTTCCATTCGGGTTTGCTCAGCATCGAGACGATCCCCTAGGAAGGAATACCACTCCATCCAGGGCACTCTTCTATCAAGCCGCTTCCAATCCAGATCAAACACTTTTCAAAAGTTCGGTTACCCGTCCAATTATGGCTCGTAGAGAAAGCTGGAAGACCGAGCCAGTAGCGATTGTGGGAACCAGTTGTCGCTTCCCAGGCGCTGCGCACTCTCCATCGAAGCTTTGGCAGATTTTGCGTAACCCCCCGGACCTTCGAAAGGAGATTCCCTCCGCCAAGTTCAACCAGCATTCGTTTCACCACCCTGAGAGTGTTCGTCATGGCGTGAGTTCTGCCTTTTCTCTTCAAGAGCACAAAGTTAGGCAGATACAGAAGAGTTGCTGTGGCCCGTGGCCAGGTTATTACACCTCTGCTGCCGCTCCTGGATTCACCGCTTTTGGGCCTTCTGGCAGGCTGCTCCTCATTCGCGGTTTTTTAATTTCTTTCCTCACTGAGTTCAGCCAATAAATTGCCTCTGAAACACAGGTACTAACAGAGGCGATCAGACTTCCAACGTCGCTCACTCGTACGTTCGAGAAGAAGACGTGGGTGAATTCGACTATGGCTTTTTCAACCTCAACCCCAAAGAAGCCGAAAGCATGGATCCCCAGCAACGGCTTCTTCTCGAAACGGTCTACGAAGGCATCGAGGCAGCTGGATATGCCATGTCGGACCTTCGAGGGTCTCCCACCGGCGTCTATGTCGGTCAGATGACGGACGATTATTACGACATATTGAACAAGGACGTCCAATGCGCCCCGCAGTACACAGCCACGGGATCGAGCAGAGCAATTATCGCCAACCGCGTGTCTTACTTTTTTGACTGGCGAGGCCCCTCTGTCAACATCGACACTGCTTGTTCTTCAAGTTTGGTTGCTCTGCATCAAGCCGTGCAAGCGCTGAGAGGCGGTGAGATCAACTTGGCGGTGGCGGCCGGAGTCAACCTAATTCTCGGGCCTGAGAAGTACATCTATGAGTCCCAAGTCAGTCACCCCCAGGATATCACCCCAGTTGAGGATATAATTGTAACTAATGTCTGGAAAGCTCTCCATGTTGTCACCGACCGGACGCTCCCGGATGTGGGACTATGAGGCAGATGGCTATGCTCGAGGCGAAGGCTTCGCGGCCGTCATTATCAAGCGGCTCAGCCAGGCGATAGCGGACAACGACCACATCGAATGCATCATCAGAGAGACGGGAGTAAACCAAGACGGTCGATCGGAAGGGCTTACCGTTCCAAGCGCCGAAGCCCAAGCCGCACTTATTCGATCGACTTACAGCAAGTGCGGCTTAGACTGGAGAAAGACCGAGGATCGCTGTCAATACTTCGAGGCACACGGGACGGGCACCCAAGCAGGCGATCCTAAAGAAGCCCGCGCGATTCGCGATGCATTCTTCCCCGAGAACATAGGACAGGAACTGGCACAAGACACCCTGTATGTCGGGTCTGTGAAGACCGTCATCGGACATCTAGAGGGGGCAGCCGGACTTGCCGGGTTGCTCAAGGCCGCCTTGGCCGTTCAGCATGGCCAGATCCCCCCAAACCTTCATTTCAACCGTCTAAACCCCAAAATCGAGCCATTCTACGATCATCTCGAGGTTCCAACCAGCCTTCAATCATGGCCGGAGCTGCCGAAGGGTACGCCGCGGAGGGCCAGCATCAATTCGTTCGGTTTTGGTGGAACGAACGCCCATGCCATTATCGAGAGCTGGCCTTCTTCGGGGAACTCAGACTATGGAAGGGATTCGAATGTCGTCTCGAACGTCGCGGCTCACAGCAATCAGCAGCAATTGGGACCGTTCACACTTTCTGCAAGCTCTGACGAGGGCCTTCTGGCTGCCGTGTCAAACCTGTCTCAGGCGCTTAAGTCCGGGCCTGATTTCAATCTACGAGACCTGGCCTGGACCTTACAGGTTCGACGTGAGCATTTCCCCGTTCGATTTGCAGTCGCTGCTACCGAGAGAGAGCAGCTCATTGAACGTTTGGACGCCGCCAGCAAGGATCCGAATGCTCTCTCGGTACAGTCCTCCAAAGCCATAAGAGTAACTGACAAGTACCCGGCTCGCATTCTGGGTGTTTTTACTGGTCAAGGTGCACAATGGCCACGAATGGGTTCGGAGCTTCATAGGCAGTCAGCCTGTTTCCGAAAGTCCATCAGTCAGCTTCAAGAGTCCTTGGATGATCTCCCTGATGCCCCGTCGTGGTCCCTCCGCTCTGAGCTGTTTGCGCCTGCTGAGAGCTCTCGCGTCAAGGAGGCGGAGATAGCGCAGCCCATCTGCACAGCTGTACAGATCGCCCTCGTTGACCTCTTGAGGGTGGCAGGTATTTCTTTCCATGGAGTCGTTGGACACTCTTCTGGAGAGATTGCCGCTGCATACGCCGCTGGATACTTGACTGCTCGAGATGCGATCCGTATTGCCTACTACCGCGGGTTGCATTCCCATCTCTCTTCTTCACCAACCGGTCAACCTGGTAAAATGATGGCCATCGGGTTGTCTCTCCAGAACGCAGAAACATTCTGCCAGCGTCCCCAGTTCCGTGGCCGCATCTCGGTTGCTGCAAGTAATGCCAGATCTAGCGTCACCGTTTCAGGAGACGCTGATGCCATACTAGAGGCAAAACAAGTTCTTGACGCTGAAGGAGTCTTTGCACGTGCGCTTCAAGTAGACAAGGCCTATCACTCTCATCACATGAAGCCTTGCTCGGGGGCCTACCTAGAATCACTACGCGCCTGCAACATCAAAGTCCTCCGGACCGACGTCGGCGGTGACTGCGTCTGGTATTCAAGCGTCCACGGATCGGCTGGACGCTACACACACGAGCCAGAGAGCTATGCTGGGCAATACTGGGTGGACAATCTCGTCAAACCAGTCTTGTTTTCCCAGGCGCTGGATAGGGCTGTTCAAGAAAGCCAACGACTTGATCTCGTACTCGAAGTCGGCCCTCATCCAGCTCTGCGCGGTCCGGCTAGCGATCTGACCAAGACCCTGGCCGGCGTTGCGGTGCCATACAGCGGTGTGCTCAAGAGGGGCGAGGACGATTTCGCCGCTTTCTCGGAGGCTCTGGGCTTTGTATGGAAACATGTGCAAGTTGACTTCCAGAGCCAGCCTATGCCCGATTTTGAGGCATTTGCTCGAGCCTGCGTGCCCAATCCCGCATCCTTTAACCCTCGAGTTTGCAAATCTCTGCCCACCTTCCCATGGAATCACAGCAAGTCCCTCATGTGGGAATCCCGAATATCCAAGCTGTGGCGAGGTCGCAGGGAACCGGAACACGACTTACTTGGTCTGCCCACCGTCAGTGGCAACCGTCAAGAGGTGCAATGGCGGAAGATCATGAGGGTCAGCGAGATGGACTGGCTCCGTGGGCACAAGTTCCAAAACCAGGTCCTTTTCCCGGCAGCGGGTTACGTATCCATGGCTGTGGAAGCGGCGTCGTACTTGATCCCAGATCAACCCAACAAGACCAAGGTGATTGAGCTGAACGACATGAAGATCCATCGAGCAATCACGCTGTCCGAACAGTCCTCCACCGGCACCGAGGTCACCTTTGTGATCCATACGCGCCAGCAAGATGCAACAACCACCGTCGCCGAGTTTTCTTGCTTCAGCATCGAAGCGGACGCTGGAGCCGATGAGCATAGCAACTGCAACTTCACTGGGTCGGCTACCATCATCGTGAGTAGTACGGCTGGTAGTGCTCTGGACGCAGCAGCCCAGGAGGCCGGAACTCTGCAGCCGCTAAGAAGTGAGCAGCGGCTTCCACTTACCGACGTGAATCTCGACCAGTTTTACTCCAGTGTGAGTGGTATTGGTCTTGAATATTCTGGGGACTTTCTGGCAAACTCCATATCTAGACGTCTGGGCTTCGCCACCGTTACCATGTCCCAGAATGACCGAACTCACTTGCTCATCGACCCTGCGGTACTGGACACATCTTTCCATGGCGTATTCTCCGCATTCTGCTACCCGAACGACGGACGCATGTGGACTGCCTACCTTCCGACTAGTATTCGTCGCATCAGGATGATGCCGGCCAAAGGGCGCGAGAAGCAACGACAGCAGCAAAAGCATTTCAATGCTGACTGTATCTTGCGTGACGCCTCTGATAAGATCATTTGTGCCGATGTAGACATCTACTCCTCCGCTGGTAGCCTTGAGTGTCAGCTTGAGGGCCTTACCTGCACCTCGTTTACGACACAAAGCCCGGACAAGGATCGGAAACTCTTCTCCCGTACGGTCTGGAGAAAGGACATCTCTTGCGGCATTGAGAACAACAGAATCATCAAAGCGAGCCATGACGATTCAAGGCTGTACGAGGTCTTGGAGAGAACCTCATACTTCTTCTTGAGGAGACTGAGGGAGCAGATCTCGGATTCGGAGATAGAAGACATGGCCTGGCACTATAAAGCCTCCTTGGGATGGGTGTTCGACCGGCTACTACCTTCCATCGAAAACGGCCAGCATCCCAGAGTCAAGACAGAGTGGGTATACGACCGAGAAGAGGATGTACAGGGCTGGCGCGAAGAGTTCGGTGATGAAATCAGTCTGCGCGCTGTCCACGCCATCGGAGAGGCGTACCCTGACATTGTGCGTGGCAACGTCCCCCCGTTGCAGATTCTCATGGAGGACAATGTCTTGAACAGACTTTACAAGGACTGTATCGGCGGGCAGACGGCCAACACCCAGGTTGGCGAGCTCGTCGGACAGCTTGCCCATCGCTATCCGCAGATGAACATCCTCGAGATTGGTGCGGGAACAGGAGGAACCACCACCACAGCCCTGAAATGTCTCAAGTCCAACTTCGCCTCTTACACCTATACGGACATCTCACCGGGTTTCTTCGAAAAGGCCGCTTCCGCCTTCTCAAGCCATACGCACAAGATGATGTTCAAAACACTGGACATCGAGCGCGATCCGGTGGAACAGGGCTTTGAAGCGCACTCGTTCGACGTGATTATGGCCGCCAACGTGATCCATGCTACCAAGCACCTGGAGAAAACCATCGCCAATTGCCACGAGCTCCTTCGACCTGGCGGCCGGATGATCCTGTTGGAGATTACGAGTGAGGCCTTGTGGATCCAGACCATCTTTTCGGCACTGCCGGGTTGGTGGCTCGGTCAAGAAGAAGGACGGATCAACCACCCAACGGTCTCCATCGACGAGTGGCAAGGCATTCTGCGCCGCCAAGGCTTCTCAGGTGTCGACGTCCAGTGTCGTGATCTTGAGGACGAGAACCGATACACTTTCTCCGTCTTCACAACCCAGGCTTTGGATGACAGGGTTCGGGCGCTAAGGGACCCTCTGCTCGTTGGGCCCAACCAGCCACTTGCTCCCAGGATCGATCACCTGGCTCTCATCAGTCCTGACGGTGCATCAGAAGTCGCAGCAGTCGTGAACGAGATGAAAGACTTGCTCTCTCCGTTCGCGAGCACCGTCACTGTCTCTCAAGGACTTCAAGACCCCGCCTTGGCTGATGGTGTTCTGCCTTTGGGTAGCACCGTCGTCTCGCTCGTCGACCTTCACGAGGCAACCTTCCGCAACATGAACCCCGCCAAGTTCCAAAATCTCAAGAGCATCTTCAACAATTCCAAGAACATCCTATGGGCAACTCAGGGGTGCCGCGCTGAGGACCCGTACGCCAGCATCATTGTCGGTCTTGGGCGGTCAGTGATGCACGAGCTCACGCACTTGAACCTCCAATTTGTCGACTTGGACCTTGAAACCACGGAGAAGCCTGCAGTTTTATTGTCCAATGTTCTGCTTCGTATGCCTTACACGGACGATCCGGAGTTTGAAGATGTGGTCTGGACCAGTGAAACAGAGACTGTGATTCAAAATGGCGACACGTACATCCCCAGAATCCTTCCCGAGGAGGCGTCCAATCAAAGGATCAACTCCGGAAGACGCGCGGTCCAAAGCGAAGTAGATCCCTCGCGCCAACCGGTCACGTTGAGGAGGGAGTCGCCCAGTGGCGTTTGCTGGCTAGAGCAGACCTCCACCATCGTTGAGGCTGGCAGTGATGTCTCTTCCCAATGGGTTGAAGTACGGGTTCAGGTGTGCTCTCTCTTCCCAGTGGTCACAAAAGACGGCCAGCAGCATTTCGTCTCTTTCGGTAAGGTCCTCGAGTCGGGACAAACGGTTCTCGCCTTGACTCCCATCAACTGTTCCGTTATCAGAGTTTCATCCGACAACATCATAACACTTCCTCAAGCATCAAGCAATCTTTCCTCTCCCCAGGCATCGCTCCGGGCAGCTCTTGCTCGTATCATTTGCGAAAGTCTCGTCAAGCCTCTGGCAAAGGTCAAGGGCACAGTCTGGCTGCACGTTGCCGAGGCGTCAGTTGCTGGAATTGCTTTCGAAATAGCATCCGCTCATGGCCTTGATCTATTTTGGACTGCCTCTAGTACTCTTAACGCTCGATCACATGGACTAGGAGGCAGATCTGCTCGGGTTCTCCGCCCTTTCATCACAGAACGAGAGCTTCGTTCCCAGGTTCCAAGGCATGTTCTATGTCTTCTGACACTCGGAGAGGAAGCAATCGCTGGATTTCATCAGCGGTTAGCTTCCAATCTGGACAATACTGCCGAGGTTTGTCACCTCACTAGCCAGACTAACCGCCATGGCCATCTCAAAGTGTCGCTCAGCTTCGAGGAGGTACGAGAAGTTCTCAAAGGCGCAGCCAAATCCCTGGCGAACGAGTCCAGCATTACTACCAGCACCGTCCCTTCTGCGATACCAGTTGACAAGCTGCCCACGAGTCGCACAACAGCGCCTCACAACTCGGAGCCCCTGGAGACGGTCGACTGGGAGTGCGTAGAGAAAGCCGTGGCCGTTGTCAAGCCCCTTGACACCAGCAACCTGTTCTCCAACGACAAGACATACTTCCTCGTGGGTCTGACGGGAGAGCTCGGTCTCGGTCTATGCAACTGGATGATTGACAACGGCGCACGACACCTGGCGATTTCCAGTCGAAAGCCGAGCATCGACCCAAGCTTTCTCAACGACTGGGCGAACAAGGGTGCCAACGTTCGAGTGTTTGCGCTCGACATCACCGATGAAACAATGCTCCGCGACGTTCATCGGCAGATTGTCGAGACGATGCCACCCGTCGGCGGTGTCATGAACGGTGCCATGGTGCTTCGAGACAGGCCCTTCAGCGCCATGACCTTGGAAGATTTTGATGTCGCCCTGAACCCCAAGGTACGCGGCAGCGAGTATCTCGACAAACTCTTCTACTCCGATCCTCTCGAGTTCTTCATCCTCTTCTCGTCTCTATCTCGCGTGATCGGCAACCCCGGACAGTCCAACTATGCCGGCGCAAACATGTTCATGGCCAGCCTAGCATCTCAGCGTAGAGCACGCGGCGTGTCCGCTTCCGTCATCGACATCGCCATGCTTGTCGGCTTCGGGTGGATGTGGCGCAACGCAGGCGAGATTCTGGAAGCCCAAATGAAGGCTGCCGCATACATGTCAATCTCCGAGCCCGAGTTCCACACCATCATGGCGGAGGCGATCGAAGCCGGTCGGGCTGACAAGGGCCTCCATCCGGAGCTGCACACAGGTCTCGCCATGTCCAACACGGCGAGCTGGAAGCGGTTTCCGCGATTCTCTCACTTCGTGCCCTCCGAGAGCCAAGCCACCACCTCGACAGGTGTCGGCTCCGAGCCAGACAAGAACGTGTCTCAGCACATTGCCGATGCGAAGAGCGATGAGGAGGTCCTGACTACGATTGAGACGGCCTTCTCACGCAAGCTCAGTGCAGTGTTGCAGCTCGCCGACACTGGCTCTCCCATGGACCCCAAGACGGCACTGCTCTCGCTGGGCATTGATTCCTTGGTTGCAGTAGAGTTGCGTTCGTGGTTCCTCAAGGAGCTTGCTGTTGACGTGCCAACCCTGAGAATTCTCAGCGATGCCACCATTGCCGATATCAGCTTTGAGGTGAAGTCCAAACTCAACATCTCTCTCGGCAAACAGGAGTCGGCTTCTACAAAGGCCGAGATCCATAAGAACACAGAGGAGCCGGCCGCAGCTCGGCGACCCGATACACCGCAAATCACCCCCGAGCGTGACGAGTCGCCCTCTACTTCACGCTCCGAGGCCTCATCCGATGTTGAAGCTAATAACGAGTCATGGCCTGACAGCCCAGATTCTCCGAATAGCACCACCGCCCCGTCTGTCGTTGGGCCATCGGCAGATGGCAATGCGGCTCAGCAGACGGCTCAAGATTGCTCAAGCCCCTCGGACGCCGACAACTACGAGCGCACGGGGCCCATGTCTCACTCCCAGGAGGCTCTCTATTTCCTCCATGAGTATCTCACCGACAAATCCAGCCAAAACGTCTTGTTTTACGGGAGATATTCACATCACCTGAACATTGCCCGGTTTGAAGGCGCCCTGGAGCATGTCGCCAGGCGTCACGAGGCACTTCGTAGCGCGTACTTTGTTGACCTCAGCACTCAGCAAGCCGTCCAGGCTGTGGGCGTCGACTCTAAGATTCAGGTTGTGCACAAACAGATCGACAACGAAGCGGATGTCGAGGCCCATGTGCAACGGCTGCGCCAGCACGTTTTCGACATTACAAGGGGAAAGCTGATGCTTGTGGTGGTGCTCTCAATGCAGCCCGGCCTGCAGTACATCGTCTTCGTCCATCACCACATCGTCATGGACGCTCAAGCTACAGTCGTGTTCCTTACTGAGCTGGCCATGGCCTACGCCGGGCACCCTCTCAGCATGCCCCCTCCACAGGCCATCGACGTGTCTACCAAGATGAGGGAGAAATGTGTTCCGGACAAATTGGCAGAGAAGCTCTCTTACTGGAAGAAGGTCCACGAGCGCCCTCTAGGTCCCATACCTCTACTTCCGTTTGCAAAGACTCGGAGCCGCAAACCACTTTCCGACTATGACCTTGAGACCTTCGACATGAGAATCGAGGCCGATCTATGCTCCCTGATCCGGAGCAAGTCTTCCGAACTCCGTATCACTCCTTTTCACTTCTACGTTGCCGTCTTCCATGCTCTTCTCGCACGCTGTCTTGGTACGAGCGACGACATTAACATCGGCATCGTCGATTCCAATCGAGGCCCGGATGCGGATGACGCGCAGGCCCTGGGCAGTTATGTCAACGTGTTGCCACTACGATCCAAGCTCCAGGAGGACGAGAGCTTCAGCCAAGTCGCCCAGCGCACGCGGGACTCCGTCCTCAAGGCCCTATCCAACGCCGGTGTTCCATTCGAGGTGCTGCTGGATCAGCTCAAGGTGTCTCGCTACAGTACTCATCATCCGCTGTTCCAGGTTCTATTCAACTACCGACTTGGAATCCCCTCAACCACTCCCTTGGGTGATGGGGTCATCGAATGGACCGGCGCGGTGCCTTCAAAGAACTCGTACGACCTGGCGATCGACGTTTCAGATACTCCTCGTGGCGCCTGCATCCTGTCCTTCACCACACAACGGTACATGTACAGCGCGGCCGATACCAAGATGCTGATGAAGTGGTACACACACATGTTGAAGTCGTTTGCGCACGATTCGTCTGTCCGGGTCAGCACTTGTTCGCTCGCTGATCCGCACGAGATGCGCAAGGCTGCTGCTCTGGGTCATGGGCCGACAGGCAAGTTTCCTTTTCCTTTCCCAAACAAAAGCTAGCACGTGACACACATATACTGACACTCTCCAGTCGATATCGAATGGGAGGGTACTGTCATAGACCAGGTTGCAAGAAGCGCAGCACAGTTTCCAGATTCGATCGCCATCAAGGACGATGACGGCAACGAGGTCTCATACTCCGACATGGTCAAGACAACCAACCAGATCTGTCGAGGTCTCCAAGCCAGCAAGATTCAGCTGGGGTCCAGGGTTGCCGTTCTGCTAACTCCCGACGTTTGGTCCATCTGCACTCTTCTTGCCGTTCTCCAGCAAGGCCTGGTTTGGGTGCCGCTTGATCCACGCAATGCTCGACAGAGGCTCGCGGCTATGCTTATTGATTGCAAGCCCCGTCACGTCATTCACTCCGATGCGACCGGCGTTCTCGCGGAAGATCTGATAGCAGCTGCCCGTCCGGAGAATCCAGAGCTTGAGCCATTGCGCTTAGAAGAGTTGATGGCACCAACGGCGTCCTCCGCATCGGTACCGACGCCGAACCTGAGCAGTAGGGACGCCGATGCCGTTCTTTTGTACACAAGTGGTTCGACTGGCATGCCAAAGGGCGTCCGCGTGACACACCTAGGTCTTCTGAATCAGGTCTACGTGTGCAAAGACATTATAGGCGAGCGTCAGGTGGTTCTTCAGCAAACATCTCATGGCTTCGACATCGCTCTGGGCCAAATCTTCGATGCCCTGACCCGCGGTGGCAAGCTGATTGTCGTTGGGCAATACGGCCGAGGTGATCCTAAGCACCTGTCCAAGCTGATGCTATCCGAGGGCGTGACTTACACCTGTATCGTCCCCTCAGAGTTTCACATGATGCATCAGTATGGCTTCGAATATTTGAAACAGTGTCGTCAATGGCGGACTGCTCATGCAGCAGGCGAAAAGCTCACGCATCAACTCCGCCGGGCATTCCGGGATCTGGCTCTTCCCGACCTCAAGCTCTGGAACGCCTATGGTCCAACAGAGGCATCCGTAACCTGTGGCAGAGGTCAGGTGCCTTACCAAACGGAGGAGGACGTAATGAGTGATTCAGACAGCATTCGCGCATTACCAAACTACAACCTCACAATTGTGGACGAGAAGCTGAACCCTGTGCCGGCTGGATTTCCTGGTGAGATCTGCATTTCTTCGCCATACTCCATCAGTCGCGGATACAACAACAGGCCTAAGGAGACAGAGCGCCAGTTCATCGACTCGAAGCTCATTCGCGGAGGCGCCCTGCTCCCGGGCATCCCTGTCTACCGAACAGGCGATCTTGGCCGTTTGTCCGCAGAAGACGGCACTTTGACGGTGCTTGGCCGCATTGGCCAAGACAGCCAAGTCAAGATCAGGGGCCAACGGGTAGAGCTTGACGAGATTGCCGCCACCATCGTCCGCTGCTCCAACGGCATCATCAGCAACGCCGCCGTGTCGTGGCGTCCCGATGCCGAGACCCTCGTTGCCCTGGTCGTCATGCGCAGAGACGCCAGCGAGGAGAGTCTCGAATGGGCGACACATGAACTCGGCCAACAGCTTCCGTTGCCGCCATACATGCGCCCTTCGGTCTGGATTCCCATCGACGGAGTCCCGACCAACCTCAACGGCAAGATAGACAGGCGCGCCATCGACGAATACCCCATACCGTCCTCCCACCTGCAACGGTCGAACCGATCGAACCGAAGCGCCGAGGATTCAAGTGTCTCTTTGTCCGAGTTGGAAAGACAAGTTGCCGAGATCTGGGAGCAGGTCCTGGGGGAGAAAGCCTCGGGCATTTGGGACCCCAAAACCGACTTCTTCAACCTCGGCGGCAACTCCCGAAACCTGATCGAGCTTCGGTTCCTGCTGGAGAGAAAATTCTCGACTGCCAAGATTCAGCTGCCTAAGCTCTTCCAACACAGCTCTCTGGCCGAGATGGCGGCCCTATTTGCCTCATCCAACGACAGCCACCTCCCACTTGACTCAAACGGCCAACCTACACGTATGGATTGGGGCAAGGAGGTCGATGATGCTTGCAAAGAAGCATTACGTCCTATTTCACCTGGTATTAACACCGCTTCCTCGGCGCAGAATGGCGTCTCTTCTCGCCAGAAGCCGAACGGCCTGGTCGTGGTGCTTACGGGTGCCACCGGGTTCCTGGGAAGCTCGATCGCGCAGCGTCTTGTTGCCGATGATCGGGTTCGCGAGGTGCACTGCATCGCGATCCGTGGCGCCGACGACCAGGCTCGCCGCGTGCCGGTGCAAAGCGACAAGATGGTCGAGTACGCCGGCAACCTGGATTCGCCCCTCCTTGGGCTTTCGGTGACCGATTTCAACAGTCTCAGCAAGCGTGCCGACATGATCATCCACAACGGCGCCCAAGTGTCGTTCCTCAAGACGTACCAGTCTCTGCGCCAGTCCAACGTCTCGTCTACGATCGAGCTCTGCCGCATGGCACTTGTCCGATCTATCCCTCTTCACTTCGTGTCCACCGGCGGCGTTGCTCTCATACCGACGGTCAACGACCGGGATGCGCTACCCCCGACGCTTTTGGAGCAGTCGGCAAGCGACCGCATGCCCGAACCGCAATCGAAGAACGGATACCAAGACAGCAAGTGGGTGGCCGAACAGGTGTTAGAGAGGCTCAGCACCCAGCGCGGTCTGCCCGTGGTGATTCATCGGCCGGCCAGCATCGTCGGAGCGGGTGCGCCCAAGCTAGACTGGATGGCGGCTATCCTCAGCACCTCACGAGCCTTAGGCAAGGTGCCTGCACTTGAGGAAAAGATGGAAGGATCTCTTGATCTTGTCCCGGTGCAACAAGTGTCAAGTAAGCTTGTTGATGTCGCACTTGATACAGATTACGCCAAGGGTGTAGCAATGGTCAGGTTTGTGCATCATTGTAACAACAAAAAACTACCTCTCGGTCAACTGAAGGCGTATCTCGAGGAGCAGGATAGTCTAAAGACAACGTATAGTCTTGTCAGTCTGCATGAGTGGTTAACAGCAGCGGCGCAGGCCGGGATAGAGCCAGTCCTATATGACTTTTTGAGTGTTGGATTCGCAGGAGAGAACAAGGTCCGGCTTCCGTCTCTCGCGTATTAAGAGGGAGTGGCTTAAGGCCTTGAGGAGTGTTTCTGTCCTTGCGAACGGCCTGGAGCTAAGATGCTGGTAAACTGGTCGTGGAAGTAATGTTGTCTGCAGTGTTGTGCTAGGATGATGCATGCCGGCTCTCAAAAAGCTAGTGTTAATACATAACCGTGGCCATAGATCCTGATTATCAGATAGTCCCTAGTTTGCACTGCAGGCGGACTGGCTACAAGGATACGCACAAGGAATTGTTTTACGTTTTGCGGAGCTAGGCAAAAATACTTTATATCTTACAGCGCTATATGGGCCATATTCCTCTTTCGTCACGTGCTCTAATCAAGAATCGGGGTCAGATCTCTGGCGTTCACATCCATCTAGTCTAGGCTTCCTCTACCATCTAAAGCAACTCTTGAATATCTGGGACAATCTTATGGTGCATGGATGCTGCTTGGTAACAGCTTAACGTCCTGTTCCAACCTTTGCGTTATCAAGCGGGCCACATACAATTGGCAACGCGTCCAGGCCAAATGCTCTTCAGGGGACTGACTCCCTGCAAAGTCTCTCCTTTTTGCTTATTTGGCTTGTTGGCTTGCTACTAACAGAAGTGGCTGTGGAGAAACAGCGTCGGCATTAAGAGCTGATTCAGGCGCTTATATTGTAGAAAAACGGCTGCAACTGCTATATAGTTAGATGTACTCCCTAGAACCAAGACCATATTACGTTGCACACTAGGCGAGCCAGTGACAATTTTATATAGAAATTACTGACAGGTTAAGAATAATACAGGAATACAGGTGTGCACACCTGAAACATTCGAGTTCTCTTAAAAAGATTCCTCTTCCTTAGTTCAGAGGTGTGTACTAACGCTAAGCACAAGACCCTTTTAGAGGAAGGTAAAGGGTAAGGGTCTTCTTTACCCTAAGACCCCTCCTTCTACTTAACAGCTGGACAGAACAATCTACACGCTAACAGGTCAGAATGTCCTACTACAGATTACCTTATAAGCTAACCCTTGATTTATAGCTGTTTAGGTGTAAGGCTAATATCTTAAGTCTTAGCCACAGTAATCTAGTTCTTAACAAGCTTACAGTAGAGACAAGCAATAGCTCGAGGCTGGATTGCTAACAGTTAATAGTTACTTAAGTGCGGCTATTAGGCTAGAAAACTAAGGTATAAACAAGTACTTAGAATAATAAACTAACACTAGTAGCCCTGTTAGGCTAGGGACAGGTGGTATTAAGACAGGGTAATAAAGTTACAAGGTTAATAATAATATTAAATAGCTAGACCTTGCTTTGTTTAAAAACAATAAGCCAGAGAGGCTAGTAGAGCTTGCAGGAGCTGATCTAGTAATGCCTAACTAGCTGTTTATAGAAGCAAAGGAGGCTAAACTAAGCAACAAGGCATAGGTTATATCCAACTTTAGGGAAGAACCTCATCATCTAGCACACGCTAAAAACAAGAAAACATATAAAATCCGATTTTTCCTACAAGTTGTAGACAAACTTTACTAAGCTAAGCAAGAGGGGGTAAAGGTAGTAGTAGTAGGCTGGTTACTATAGTGGGACTTGCAAGGCTAGAAAGCAAAACTATATTTACCTCCAAGACCAGCGTCTTGGAAATGATAGTTTATTACATTGAACATAAGTAGCTAGTTACTGCCCACAACTGACGGCGTCTTTCTGTTACGTGACATAATCGTTGCTACCATCAGACTAGATTGGTTCTTTGGCATCGGCGTGAAGAACGGTGTAGCCGTCAGAGCACAAATCCCGTGGGTTAAGTGCTTCAAAACAAGATGTTTGGTGAGGTCAAACGTGTTCTGACCAGTGCTCGCTGGGAAATGCTAATACCGGTGGCCTCGTTCTTGCTGTAAACGTCGTAGTTGACTCTGACGGCGGCGCGGCGATGGAGGACTCAAGACTTGAGAGTCAGCAGCATAGTACGGTATGTGGATCCTACGGAAGATGTAGAATGATTGCCCATTTTCGAACAGAAACGGCAATGTTTGCAGAATCTGAGACGCGCCGCTTTTCGGCATCGCTGGTATCGTATTGGGGAGATATTAGACCGGTCGGGAGAGTGTGGCCCTCATAAGTGGCCAAGGCTTTATTATTCTAGAGGTCCAGTTGAGACGAGCCAGCTAGTGCCGAGTCATGCAAAGTTGACAACATCGACCAGTCCTAGGTTGTGCTCCTGTTGTCCTTATCCACTACCCAGCACCACTTTTGTACAGTTCAGTCCTGCATGGCCATTCCAATCCAAATCTGTCATGAGCGCTTAGTAGACAGCAGACTTTTACCGTTCAGTGCGACATCCCATTTCTCATCCTCGCCCTGGTTGCCGCTGTTCACCCCAAACGGTATTAGATCGTCTCCACCCCA